TGGAGGGGAGTCCCCATTACCTGTAAAGCACTTTGAGTGGAGTGTCCAGAAAAGTGCTATATAAATGTAAGCAATTATTATTATTATTATTATTATTATTATTATTATTATTATTATTATTATTATTATTATTACTGTAGACTCATGTCATCATGTCCTGGTCCCTAGCACTCCTGAAATACAAAAGTTTAAATAACATTCACGGATCATATACTGTACAGTATACATACAATAAAATGTTACATTCCAGGAAAATAGAGATCCAAAATTTTACCAACACATACTATACTCTTATAACAAAATTGAGCTAATAGAATCCTGCCTCGTTGTTATTTAAGAAACTTGTTATTAGAAAACATTTTATATTATATTTCATAAATGTCAATAAAATCATTCACGATTTTGCTTTATTTGCAATGTATATGACTGATTTCCTAATTATACAGTGTTTGTACAGTGTACAGTTCACCTGTAGCAGCTCTGCAGCTGTTCTCAGTCTCAGTCCTTCTGTAGAGCTGAACGAGGTTTTTGTACACATGCTTATCACTGTGTGAAAGGGAAGCTATGGTCATGCTGACAGTAATAATCTCCTGCATCTTCAGCCTGGACTCTACTGATTGTCAGTGTAAAGCCTGTTCCAGACCCACTGCCAGTGAATCTATCAGGAACCCCAGAATAATGGTTTGTTGCACCATAAACCAGGAGCTGTGGAGCCTGGCCAGGTTTCTGCAGGTACCAACTGAGCTCTCTACCAATGGACTGACAGCTGACAGCTGATCGAGACAGAAGCACCTGGGAGAACAGACTGAGCTGCTGGAGACTGAGTCATGATGATCTGCCCACTGGACTCTGAAATCAGAAAATTGTATTATCTGAAATAACATGAAGATCTATTGAACTCTTGGCTCAGAAATTGATTAAATGTAGGTTAATCAGTTATCTAATAAAGTGTATGTTGGACCTAAACATATTTACAAAAACTATATTCTTCTGAAGTGCTAATATAATTAAAAAGTAACAGAAATATGTATTTAAAGAAATATTTTAGAACTATTTTCACATTAATACCAATATACTTCTCATCTTGAACAAAGAGCCCCAGTGTCCCCAGCAGTAGAATCAGTAGCATCATTGTCCCGTGTGTGTCAGTGGCTCTGAAAGGGCTGAACAGTGACTGATCCACACTGTGAGTCTTTAAGTGTTTGGAGCAGTGAGGCAGCACAGGTATGCAAAGCTCCATCCTGTATACAAATCCTGTCACAGTCAGTTAGAAAAGGCCTGAGCTGAGAAAACAGGTGCAATCTGTTGGGGTTTGGATCCTTCCTCTTATTTTTTTAAATATGTGTTGCATTTAAAGCTTGGTGTGCAATAGTACAGCTCCAATGTCTGTCTGTAAACTATTTAAAAGCCTGCAAGTTATATATACTAGTTATTTATACTTTCAGTATGTAAGGTTCATGTAATTTTTTGATGTGGAATCCTTTTTTTTTTAAAGTCTGTTTAATCCTTTAATCAGCCTGCTGTTCCTGCAGCTCCAGTCTAGTCTGCCAGCTGCACTGTTGCAGCCCCTGCGCAAACCTCTGCCCCTGCAGCGCATCCAGAACTCCACCTCTTCTAGCTGCTGCCTACCCTGCCTGCTTCACCTTCCACATGTTCCTCAGTTGAGTTCCATTCATCCTGGCTCTGGCAAATTGATTCCTCAGCCTGATTACTGATGAGATTCACACCAAGTAAGCAGCTGTATCATTACAAAATATTGCAATTAATTACAATTCTCCGCAAGGCCTTACAGCACAAAAGCAATCTTGCTACTTGCTTCTCAGCTGTAATATCCCATAATCTAAGAAAGAAATCCAGATGATCTTGTGTAAACTCCTATCAACAAGCCTGGCTATTGAAGTATAGTCAGTGGTAGCAACTACACACAGGGAGTGAACTGAGTTTATTCTCCTTTGTCCTGATTCACAGTCTGTTCCCGAGTCACACCATGTGTACAAACAGGTGTAAAGTCACTTAAGAGTAGAATCTTTTTCTCTTTTGTCCCAGAGCCATACACACTTAATTCTCCTAAGTAAAACAACAGTACTGACTTACTGCCAAGCCAGCAGGAGACTGTGACAAATTCAATGTGCTTCCTCTCTGTGGGACTTTTCAAACTCTCCACAGAATGGCAGAGCCAGAATGTTGCTTTGTGTGAGTATCAGTTCAATGTTTACATGAGAAATTTCAATAATATAACTATTTAACTGTATTGATTTTCTTAAGAAAACAGATATCTACATATCCTTTATTTTAAAAAAAATCTTCTGTGATTAAGATAGCAGGACTAAAGTTAACTTAGTCAAAAAGATTGAGTTTTGTTTGAATGCTGTCCTATGTGAATTTGAAATGGCTGAAGAGTGACTGATCCACATTGTGTTTGAACAAAACAAGATATATCATTGGGCACAATGTTTGTTATCTATAGGAACAATCCTGGAATGAACCTGGAATATTGCTGTGACAAAGATGTCTTATTTATCATTCAGAATGATGCAGTTCCAGATTCCAGTAGACAAGTCTTCATAGATCTCAGTGCACAAACTGTGTTTCTAGCTCTTCTTGGCTAAAAGTCCTGCTCAGTCAAGGAAGACAATTTGCATAGAAGAGACACTTTGCATTAGCAGTACATGCTTCAGTGCTCTGGGAGTGTTTATAGCCCTGTGAGTTTTACATTTCATGACTGAGAGCTGCCCTTCATGGCAACTGAACCCACAGCAACAATGAGCTTAATCACCATCTTCATCTGGACACTTATCTGCTTTCATGGTGAGTAGAAATTAAATTTGTGGGGAGATTAAAAAGTGGGGAGATTTGCAATGTGAATATTTTATATTATTATTTTTCAATCCTGAAACTGTTTGCAAGGTGACGAATCAAATCTAACCCTAGGCATTACAGAAATGTTAACATTATACAATTGTTTTCCTTGTAATACATTTATTTTTTATTTTGTTCCAGGTTCCAGTGGCCAGATTACTGTGACTCAGACTCCAGCAGTGACATCTGTTCTCCCAGCACAGACAGTCACTGTGAGCTGTAAGACCAGCAGTTCTCTGGGTACCTGTTCTTATACTGGCTTATGTGGCCACTGTCTTGCTTGGTACCAACAGAAAACTGGAGAAGCTCCTAAACTCCTGATCTATTATGCAACTGCCCGTCAGACTGGGATCCCAGAGCGTTTCAGTGGCAGTGGATCTGGGACTGACTTCACTCTGACCATCACAAGAGTCCAGGCTGAAGATGCAGGAGATTATTACTGTCAGCAGGGCTCCAGCTACCCTCTCACACAGTGATAGACGTCTGTACAAAAACCTCCCTCAGCTCTACAGGAGCTGCTCTGGTTCATTAACAGGAACCACAGAGGACTGAGGCTGAGAACAGCTGCAAAGCTGCTACGATTATTTACGATTGATTAGAGCTGGGTTAGTGCATTATTTATTAATATTGTGTTCTAAACACAGAAATAATGTCTAGATATACAACTTTGTTAACTAAGAAAGCTATGAAATTGAAAATAACAAATAAAAGTAATACTATTAAATATTTTAGCTCATAAATGCTACCAGAGAAAATATTACCATACATATTTAGCATTTCTTGAACTTTGCATCCTGTGATATTGATTGTCAAGATGCAATCCAACCAACATTTTTAAGGCATGGCACAGAAGCTTGTGTGAAAAAAATTTTTGTAAATAGCATGAGAGACTAGACTGGATGTATTTGAATGACGACAAATCGATGAAGGACCAGCCTGGAGACCCTGAAACTATTATTTTTACTTCCTATGTTTGTTGTTAAATAGAATCACAAACACAGACTGCAGTTATTAATACTGACCAGGAGAGGGAGACAGATCATGTCAATACTAACTGGATTGATACAGTACTTTGATAAATGGCAATTAATCTGCCTTCAGTACTCCCAGTTGTCATCACCACAGAGGTAATGACAATTTGGAGTAATGAAAGCTGATCAGATCAATTTTAAATTGTTTTAAATTCTGTAATGTTTCAAAAGTGCTTATACAGGACAATTCTGTATATTTGAAAATAATTGCTAATTATTTTTACACTAACGCTTTGACAGAATAAAACATAAAAAAATGGCAGATCATGTCCTGAAGAAGTCCACACTAAACTAGTAATAATTGATAAATGTCACATTTGTTTATATTATTCACAAATGACAGCACTACCCCCTTATAGCCTGGTCTCATCTCATCTGGTCTCAAGGATCACAGCTGGGCCAGATCACCACCATAGTGGGAGACCTCCAAGGAAAACCAGGTTCCTGTTGTCATTGGAATTCACAATCAATCCCAGCATTCTGCTGGAGAAATGGGATGCAGTATTGTAGAACTTATGTTTGAAGGTTGTGTTCTTGTAGGACAGCCATAAAGAGACTGAGTATCACATGCTGGCTCACAAAAGTGTCTGTGTGTGCTTATAGAAAATTAACCTGTCGGGTTCATGTCAGCACCTATGTGTCGTGTCTCTGTCTACAGAACATTTGGTGATGAGGATGGCTGTGTAGCGATTCAAGGAGTCACAGTGCAGTTCAGTGAAGGTTTGAGATGAGTTTAACTGGTGACAAAAACAGACATTTCCAGAGAACACTGGGAGACATCACACACAAGGCTCATCCCTTACAGTGTCCTGAAGTCCAACAGTGTTACAGAGGGTTTTATAGTCTGTCAACAGTCATGATAACCCTTTCCTGTTACCATGGATGGGAGTTTATGAGTGACCCTTGCCAATTGTATGGAATCATAGAATAATGCGCTAAATGCACTCCAGCCAGGTCAAGAGTACTGATCCCAGGCCAGAGTCAGATCTCTACAAGCTGGTACAGTGAGGGCAGCAGCCTTCCCCTCTGTGTGCTGCTCTCAGCTTGGAGAACACTCAGTGCCTTTTCCATCAGGTCCACAGCATCGGAATTAAGCAGCAAAATCAATTGAAGGTTCAACACTTGGCTCACTTTAGGGTTTAAACAATAGATCGATGTGTATACAAGGGTCCCTGCTTAACGTCTCCCAGCGTTTACAACACTGACTTTTTAAGATTGTGGACATAAAAATTCCCCCGACATAAGTCCAATGGATGCAAACCAGAGCATAAAAATTTAAAATATTTTGTAAAATAGCTTTGTCAAATTATAACAATCATTGTCAATATATACTTACTATATTATTTACAAATTGTTTGTGTTTGACATGTTCATGAAATTGTTATGTATTTTCAGTGCCCTGACTTTATCCTCTGATTGCAAAGTGCTCTAAAAGTCTAGTGCAACTATGTTGCTAAATGAGTTCAAATATGAGTAAATTTATTCTATTCAGTATTAGACTTCCCTATTTATCATATATATAGTATTTAATGTAACTTTAAGAATCATTATACTGTACTAGATTAATTTAAAAGTATTTTGCTGTGTGTTGGTTGAATCTTTGTGTGCACTGCTCATACACAATACACTACATGTTGATGTTATTTAAATTTAAAATTTTAAGATGAACATTCTGCACTGTAATGCTTAAAAATGTTGTTCATCACTGATACCCACTGTCTTCGTTTCTCATTCACAGTTAATTTTCAAATTTTAGGTGTTTCTTTCAGACAAGGATTAATTACATTTAAGTGCTCAGCGTAATGGGTCATTCTGTTTACACACAGAAGACGTGAATGGACACTACTGTAGACTCATGTCATCATGTCCTTAGGTCCCTATTAGTGTTGAAATACATTGTGTAACGCAACGGGGGCTCAGGTGGGCACCCTTGCCGCATTAGGTCGGCCCCCCACCGTCGGGGGCTCGAGCCCTGGACTCCCGCGTCTCTCTGCAGTGACCTAGCCCCGTGAGCTAAAGAGAGATCTCTCTACAGCCCAGTAGCTGTAGTCCTGCTATCACAGGGAAGGGCGGTGACATCACCTGCTCTGGTACGCCGGCTCTTACACAGTGCATGTCGGCCGTAAGCGTTACAATTGATTCTTATAGATAAAGAGTCATGTTTAATGTATTATAGATCCCCATTAACCACTATTTCCATATTTCCTCTTGGGAAATAATTCCACGTTTAGGGTCCATGTTTTATGATCCCCATTTAGAATGTTAAACTGGGACACCCTGTGTTGCTCTTAGGAGGTAAAAACCAACAGGGCTTAGAACAATAGCAATCCACATGCACCCCTGCTTTAACCCATCAGAATCCCAACCCATATAAACATCAGTATCCCTGACGGAACATGAAATACAGATGTTTCTGGGAAATGGAGTGGAGTAAAAGTAGCTTCTTTTCTAAAACAACATTCTTGGGTAAAACTTAAAATACTTAAGTACAGGTCTCAAAAAATTTGCTTAAGTAGTGTAGTGAAGTAGTTTGACTTTGTTAATTAACACCCCTAGTCTTTACAAGGGAGTGGAAAGTATTTTTTTCCATGTTCTGTCCGGACTCTGAAAGGGCTGAACAGTGACTGATCCACACTGTGAGTCTTAAAGTGTTTGGAGCAGTGAGGCGACACAGGTATGCAAAGCTCCTTCCTGTATACAAACCCTGTCTCAGACAGTTGGAAAAGGCCTGAGCTGGAAGAACAGGTGCAATCTGTCAGGGTTTGCTATTTACTTTAATGTGTGTTGCATTCAAAGCTCAATGAATTAGTGCTCTAAAGCAGTACTATTAACAGTTTGTCCCTAAATCACTTACAAGCTTGAACATTCTTTACACTTTACTAAGTTTTCTGTATATAAAATTCAAGCAAATATTTTATGTGAAATCCTCTTTTTTTTAAAAGTAGATTTACTAATTTTAAGCCAGTTATGAAGTGTAAAGTTGAGATGAGCACCACCTTGTGCCCACTGCTGTGTCTTGCAAGCCAGCAGGGTCATCTGGGCTCTCAGGGTTCTGTGAGATCTGGAGGCTCTTTTTTTTCTCTGGATTATTTGGAACTCATTTATACAAATTCCACCTGTGCTAATGACACACCTGTTTAAATATCAAATAAGTAGTTTTACAAAGGAATGTGTTTTAAACCTCTATATCTTACAGATCACACACTGAAGCAACTCTCGACTCGAACATTTATTATTCCTGCCTGGGATACTGAACCCACAATGCCTGGGATACTGCCTGGGATACTGAACCCACAAATCTGTAGCCAACTATATCACCTAGCAATTCCTCACACCTTATCCCCACACATGCTCCCAGAGTCACCAGTGTAGCACAGGATTCAATACAGGATATTTACTATTCAATCTCCCTCTCGAATACTAGAGTGAGCACGGTTAATACTGTCCTCATTACTCTGTACAGCAAGTAAGGCCCTGAATAAAGTCAACAAGACACTGGTGAGTAAATCAGCTCTCAGGAACAGGCTGAAGCATGAGTGCATCACAAGGATGAAGGTGATGTCCACTGTTCTGGATGATTGTGTCCACTGGTGATTCTTAGTAATGTTAAGACGTTTAGTTTTTGAGTCTGAACAGCAGATGTTGATGTGTTGGACAAGGATAGATAGATTTTTCAGATGGTCATCCTCTTGGAGAGCTACAGTATCAGAGACCAAGTTGTTTTTTTATTCAGCACAGGGGTATTGCTATGTCACCAGAGAAGTGCATTTAAAACTCTTCAGGAAATATATTTCACACTGTAATATAGATACAAAATCTCAAGTTTATGTTGCATTTGTACTATATATTACTGATTTCCTAATTAACCCAACAGTGTTCAGTTCACCTGTAGCATCTCAGTGGCTGTTATCAACCTCAGTCCTCTGTGGTTCCTGTTGATGAAAAAGAGCAGCTCCTGTAGGAGATTTTTGTGCAGATGTGTGTCACTGTGCTACTCTGCTGACAGTAATAATCTCCTGCATCTTCAGCCTGGACTCCAGTGATTGACAGTGTAAAGGCTGTTCTAGACCCACTGCCACTGATTCAGTACCCCAGAATACCAGTTTGTTGTGTAATAAACCAGGAGCTGTGGAGCCTGACCAGGTTTCTGTAGGTACCAGTGCAAGAGGTCGATACTACCAATAGTAACAGAGCTGCTGGTTGTACAGCTGATAGAGACAGTTTCTCCTGGGAGAACAGTCTGAGTTGGCGACTGAGTGAAAATCTGCCCACTGGACTCTGGAGGTAAAATAGCAACAATAATGAATTAATTATTTCTATACACATTCGTGTAGTGAATTGCCTGAGAAAACACATTTGCTACATTTCTACTTATTTCATTTTTAAAATTAACCAATTATGATTAAGATTTATTGTAGAACTAAAGTCAAACAATGTTAGATTGATTTTTTGTTTCAATGCTTCATTGATCAAATTGCCGCAGTGTCTCCAGCAGTAGAATCAATGGCATCTGTCTCGATCGTAAGCCTCTCCTCTTAAGGGCGCTCCAGCTCTGTCTTGTTTCTGTTCATTCTTTGCACCTGCCTCCTGTTCCAGCTCCTCTGTATAAAAGCCAGCCGCTCCTACCAATCTGGACTCAGCTTTGGAAGATGGACGCCCGGAAGCCCACCTACCAGCAGGTCCAGGAGAGGCCCGATGGCATAGGCTTCACAACGGTGTCCTGCCCATCTGGGTCCGGGGCTTGGAGCGCCTGGCTCGTCAGTCATGGATGGATTGCCCGGCTCTGGACCTTTTGATCACCCCGGCTTGCCCTACAGACTCCCTTTGGACCTGTTTGCCTTGGTCCACGCCCCCCCAAGCACCAGTGCACAGTCGTCAAGTCCCCCTGTTCGTCTTCCAGCCCCGATCTTAGTCTGCTTTCCCCGTGTTTGTTGCACTCCCTTCCAGATTCTATCATCTGCATAGGGTCCTGAAAAAGGCTTCGTGACAACATCATTGTCCTGTGTGTGTCAGTGACCCTGAAAGGGCTGAACAGTGACTCATCCACACTGTGAGTCTCAACTAAACACAACAGTGTGCAAATTATCTCAGTTAATGTCACATGCTGTTCGAATAGAACAAGATCCCAAACTGAACTTCAGAAACAACGGATTACCTTTTCAGGAAAACATGAGTTAAATTTGGGCATGGGGGTTGTTATCTGTAGTGACTTCTGGAATACTCCTTAATTAAAGATGAAAAAACATTGTTTAAATTTAACATTCAGAATGATGCTGGACCAGATTCCAGTAGACATGTCTTCATATCAGACCTCAGTGCACAAAATCTGTTTACAACTCTTCTTGGCTAAATATCCTTCCCTATCAAAGAAGACCATTTGCATAGAAGAGACACTTTACATTGGCAGCACATGCTTCAGTGCTCTGGGAGTACTTATAGCCCTGTGAGTTTAACACTTCATGACTAAGAGCTGCACTTCATGGCAACAGAACCCACAGGAGCAATGACCTTCATCACCATCTTCATCTTTGTTCTCTTTCTCTGCATTCAAGGTAAGAATGATATACAGCAGAAAGATTTTGTGGAAGATATATGTAAACAAATATTGTACTACATATTTGAACAATACTCTAGCATAACTTTCATTGTTTCTTGTTCTATCTTGTTCATTTCAGAGTCCAGTGGACTCACAGGTTACTGTGACTCAGAGTCCATCAGTGAGATCAGTTCTCCAACGACAGACAGTCACTGTGAGCTGTAAGACCAGCAGTGCAGTTTACAGTAACAGCTATGGTGAATACATGGCCTGCTAACATCAAATATCTGAAGGAGCTCCTAGACTATTGATTTATCTTTTAAATAAACTAAACCCTGGGACCCCAAGTTGTTTCAGTGGCAGTGGATCTGGGACTGACTTCACTCTGACCATCATTGGAGTCCAGGCTGACGATGCAGGAGATTATTACTGTCAGAGTTTACACTAGCCCAACAGTAACTGGGTGTTCACACAGTGTTACACAGCCATACAAAAACCTCCCTCAGCAGGACTGTACAGCGAATGAACCGCTGCAGCTGGGACCTCCTGCAGATGCTGGGGATGAAGACAATGAAATAGAACTCAACTGCACACAAACACACTGAATTTCATGAATGACATATCTGTAGTAATATGGAGTTCATAATTAGACACAACAGCTCTAGCTATATTTATACCACAGATAAAACAGGAACAAACAACATCATATGACAGATATCTTTATATTTAAGATATTATAGATTTATTTAATCTATTCTAAAAATACAATGCTATAACACTAATAGCACTAAAAAAATAAAATTGTTCTTGATTAATAATTGATTGATTCCCATAAAACAAAAGGGTCACTTCTGTTCACACCTCAAGTTCAAGTTTAGTGTCATATGTACCTGAGTACAATAAAGTGCTTACTTGCCTGTTTCCTCAAATACCACATGGCATAACAGTTGACAGCACATACTGTTGGAGACAGGGACATAATGGCATGTGTGCCAACAGCATACAGTAATGATAAGAAGCCGTATAAAATGAAAATAAAAAAATAAAACTGTGGTTGGTAGGGATCTGCAAGTGATTAATACAGAATACAATAGCAGTAGTATAAATGAAGTATACTGTAACAACTGTAATGTACACTAGCATTCAGACAGCAGCAGTGTGCAAAAACCAAGCAGAGGCAGTGCTGTGAGTTCAGTGCAGAAATAGTGGGGTGTGAGTGGGGGCTGGTTAATTAAGAGTTTAGGAGTCTAATGGCTGTGGCAAAGACTTATTTTAATACTTCT